CGTCAAATTTGGGGATTTAGCGAGGGCCTTCGGCTGTACGATCTAATGTATTGGAGGAGGCAAGTTCGTTTACAAGAATATCAGGGAGAGATTTAACTCGCAAGAATAATTATTTGTGACGTTTTCAACTGAAGGGGCAAGAAATCTTTATCACTCTCTAGGTGCCGAACAAGAGCAGCACGAGAGAGCGCACGGGGACGACCGTAGTTCATACGTGTGTCGTTACGAAAATTATCAGCTGCGACCGACATGTTTTAGAATATCGAAAAAGCACGGCGAAGGCTTGTGGTAATTGCATTCTAAAATGCCAAAGTTGACAGTCTGATATCATTCTGATTTCCGCCGATAAAATAGAACCATAGCCTCTTTTATACTGGCAAAGCCTGGCAGATCGCCATGAGACGCGGCCGCTGAAAGTGAAAAGGTAGAGCGGCAGACAACGGATGAGAGGAGAGCCTAAAGCCCAGGATAGAGGGGCTTTGGAGAGCCATGTAACGGGCGCCCGCTGCGGCGAGACGCCGAAACACACGTCTTTCGAGCGATGCATAAATGTACGCTCGTGCTCCTCGCGTTCCCCGCGCCTCCTCGCCGCTGCAAAAGCTGTGCGCTCACTACCAGCTTCCCCTTAAGCCCCTCTATCCTGGGAAAAGTGGCGCTATTCATTGTTGTGGAAATGATTGATACGCGTGCCGCACGCAACTTCTGGGAAGAACGTGGCGTTTGAGGTCTAACTCGGTGCTGCGCTGTGCCGCCGTGATCTTCCCAAGTGCTGCACTTGCATGTGCTTCGTGCATCTACGCACCTTGCGTTACTTTTAACACATGAAAGGTCTTTAGCTTCCCCGGAAAATGCTCTGTGCTACCAGATCCTCGCGCTCCAAATCGGCGGCCGGGCGCTCTATGCTCCGTCGTCGAACTGCCAGGCTTTGTGAGTTCAAAGGAGGTAATGGCAAAACTTACGGAAAAACGCCCCTGCCGTTCCTTTTATTTCTCACGTCCTTTTCGACATGATCAAAGTGTAACACGACGTGGCTAGGTTAGAACTAGGCTAGCAGCATTGTCCGCTTTGGTGCGGACCATCGGAGGGATAAAATTATTTTATTGCTTTTTTCTAAGTACTGACTATCTGACTATTGACCCCGTAGGCTACCAATAGCGTCAGTGTGGTCGACTTGCCAAGATTAGCCAGGCTGGGATTAATTTTGTTTTCACTGGAAGAAATAAGAGTAATGCCAAGTTGTCATTATTGACGATGGCGTTTTAACAACGCGATCAAACTTGCCACAGTCGATTTGAACACGCACGTTCCAATTTGTCGCTCGCAACTGATGATCCTGACCCTAAAGTCAAGGGTAGGAACTGTAAAAGGACGTAACTGAACGCGCCTGCACACTATATATATGAGACTTGACACGAGCCTCTCGCTTGGATGTCATTCACACACTTGCGTCCAGTCCAAAAGCGTGCGGGGGTTGCTATGGCAACAGTTGCGTCGGCTCCAACAAAACGGGGTAAAAACCGGCCTTGTAGAAGCCAACGCAGCTGTTGCCACAGCAACCCTCGCACGCGGTCAGACTCGACGCAAGTGTGTGAATCGCCCTTAACGCGGCGTAGAGATATAGGGACATGCGAGCGCGACGCCATCAGTGCAGCCGTTCAATCGGCTGGCCCCACGGTGTTGCTCGCGCGCGCTCCGATGAAGCTGGATCGCAAGGGCATTGTGTTTCACAAGCCCGCTGGAATTTGAGCACCGAAAGAGCTCGGATGATTGAAAGCTCGTCCCGAGTGACTCTCACGTCGCGAGAATCCAATAAGCACGCTCCGCGAACTTCGGCCCCAACTTCGTGTTTGCGGAGCGAAACACTCCGCGCTGCTTGGGGAGGACCGATCTCACGGCGGCGGCAGCTCCACTGTTTCGCCAGCTACCACAGCGGCCGGCGCTCCTCCGATGAATTCCGCTCGAGTTCCCGAACGGACCGCCTCTAGTACCGTCGGTTAAAAGCTAGCCCGACAAGCACCCTCATGTTTATCAGTTCCGCTTCACATAGCTTTGCTTCTTTTAGAAAAATAGATCCTCCCTAGTCGTCCGTTCCTATTAGTTTTAGAAACACCTGTAATGAATTAAAAGGCCGGTGCAATAGTTCTGCTACTTTGCGCGAATACCTCTTAAAACGAATCCCTGACGTTGATGACCAATGAAACAAGCGCTCGTTTCTTACAGTTGAGCTATTAAGGGCTAGGTTCCCCAGGATCGTGTCCGTGTATGTCGACACAAAGCTACTTGGACAGCTACCGCCATCTATAAGCGACGGTGGTAAGCACACAACCAGTATATATATGGTTTCCGCCGTCGCTCGTAGATGACGGCAACCTTTCCAGCTATAATAGAAGAATGGATAGTTGGGCGCGTTGGTGGGTATTCATCGTAGGAAACAGCGCGAAGAACAGACGAGGACGAAAAAGAAGCACACAGTGTCTCGAGTTCAGCTCCGCTGGTCTTCCTTCTTCACGAGAGTGGAAAGGATGAACGATTTCTCCCAACAAATAAACGCCACAGGAAAAAAAAAAATTAAAGAAGAAGGAGCAGAGCTCACTTCCTCAACTCGCAGCCAGAACAAGCGGCGGCATGATCTGGAAACAATTAGGGGTATTCACACGGCACGCGCGTCCCACGACGAAAACGTCAGGCTTTGTGATGTGCAAAAGCCTCGCGTTTTCATCTCGCGATGCGCGCGTGCCGGGGAGAAATCCCTGGTATCTCTCCCTCGTGTGAATACCTCGCCGGAAATGTTGATCATAGCCACGCGATGAGGGTGACAAGGCACAGGACACTCCAGACATTGCTAGGTTTCGACTACTGTCGTCATTGCAGCGATTGGACACGGCCCACTACCCGAATGCTTATCGATCTATCGATTATCACGAGCCCGAATCGAGTGCTCACAAAATGTTCGGGTCCAATCTATGAGCCGCATTCAAATATCGTCACTGGGAGATACTGCGGCTCCCACGCTACGTCATCAATATTTTGCGAAGGAGAGATTGAAAGAAAACGCTCGCTTTTATTCTTCAAATTACAGCACAACAAAGAGGTTTCTTGGTCAATGGCGTTGCGTGCGGGCATACTTGGGTCTCACTGGTGCCAGTAGACTCGTGCAAAGAAAAAAAAACATTTTAAATGAATATTGGTGCACTCACTGATCTCTATTATAATTTCTGGATCCCGTTTCCCCACTACGCCAATGCAGCCACCAAACGGCCATCTTGGGACACGGAAAATCGAGCTTTCGGAGCGTCGCGGAGGCTGGGCGGCAGCGTGCTGAAAACACGTTCGCTGTTCATTCGTCGTCATTCGCTGAAGACGTTTTAATAAACCTTGTGTAAACAGTGAGAAATGCTTTTGAGAACACGTGACCTTTTTTTTTTTTTTTTTACAAAAGCGGAGCACCGCAGAGTAAAGGCTCAACTAGTCCAGCGTAAGTCTCGCCGGTCTCGTGGCATGATTAAAGCTTCCTAGGCACACCAAAGGGCTACAACTCTTTGCCTTCGCGCGCGTGAATAGTTATCAAGAATCGACACCGTGGCAAAACTTTAAAGGTGTGTCGCGCGTAGATGTCTTCTGGATCGCCCAGCTGTTCCGGCGAGTTGCTATCAATGAAAGGAAAAAAAATCTGTGGTTGCTATTTACACGACTAATCGTGACTGTATGACTGTGTTACAAATCTACTTGAACGAATCACATGACTGTAAAAATAGAGTAACGCTGTTGAAGAAAATAGGTTCTCGAACGCAAAAGTATGAAACGGCGCGATCAAAATTCTTTTAAACGCTGCCCATGCGGTCCTGTGCAATTTGTCGCCGTCGCCATATTCCCCTACCTTTCTTCCGCCGCCACTAGATAAGCTTCTTTCTGTACCCCGAGTTACAAGTTACAAATTGCGGGCATCTTCTAACTCCGATTCCCTCAGACCCTGTCTCCGGATGAATATGACACTTCAATACTGCGCTCTCGGCAAAAGGGTTTATTCACTCACTCATTGCCTTCGGGGGGTTTCGGGATCGGGGAACGGTCAACAGCGAGGCCGGGGGAGAGTCCGCTGCCATAGCAGCTTCTCCGAGTCCCAGCGGTGGTCGTCCACACCGCGTCATGGGGACGTCGTCGTCCAGGGTCGCTGTCCGGTCCGTTTGTCGAGTCCGCCACTCGACGTAGTGCCCGCACTCCCTGCGCCAGCGTCCAGCGCCGTCCGAGCTCGCCTCCATGACCGGTCCCTTGTGAAGTCGGCAGCCCAAGCCTTCTTCCTTTGTCTCCGTTCCCCTTTTAAGACCTTCCCAAGTCCTTGTCCCGCCGACCATCCTATCGGGAACCTTGCTGCGAGCCGACCCTCCGACGTCAGCGCTGGGTGAGGGGGCGCTTGCCCCGTTCCTCCCGGAGAGCTCGGACGTTCCGCGACAGGACGGCGACGGAAAACGGGAAGGTCACGGGGAACGAAGGAGCGCCCGACAGTGCGGCGGCAGGGAGCGGCAAGGTCACGGAGGAGCCAGGGAGAAGGTCCCCACAAAATACAGTCGTAAGAGTAAAGTAAAACGCTGCTCCAGAGGCACACTCGTCTTCACTCGCGAAACAAATCCACACGCCGTCAATTCGTAATCGGTATCCAAGCGTGTGAAGGCAGAAACGCAGCACTTCGGCGTCCTAAGAAAGCTTTGATCACACCGCGAGACCTGCGTTTGACGAGTTGCGCATTTTCTCCTGCGGTGCTGCGCTTTCTTAAAAACTTCCGCGTGTTCACAAAGGCAATTATCACAATTTACACGGGCTATTAACAAGCATATTAGGCGAATGACGAGGAACGAGCACAACACGTGCATCCAGGACTCGGCCGTCCGGTGGCCGCAGTTTCACTGCAGCGACCAAGCGTGGAGACGCGATCCGGCGAATCGTCCTGCCGACCAGTGTTGCCACCGACCCTTTAATTCTGATTTTTGATTTCGATTATTAGGCTACTACCAAACGGTAGCAGCCTTTCAAAAATTCATCTATAGGCTCATTGAAGTGCCCCTCCCCACGGTAGTCTTTAGTAAAAGGCGAAAGGCTATCTCGTAGTCTTGAGGAGAGGCATGAGCGATATCCAGCAAAGGACGGAAAAGGAGAAGCCAGTCGAGACGGGCTGTTTGAATTCCGCAGTGATGGTCCCGTAGAACTAGCTGTTTGTTAGTTTCATTGATCGTAAAAAGCACTACATGACATACTCGTGCCAACTATTCCGGACTTAAACACTATCTCTTAGGTGTAATATCGTATTATACAAGTTCCCTTCTCTCTACGCGGCTTTTACTAATAACGCAGAAGAATGAAATCACGACCTAGTTATCATCATCATCGAGACTTCACCGCTGGATTTATGGGCCGTGTTCCAAATTTTACTTGATCTTACTCCAGGGAAAGGGTTTTGAACCTTGGCGTTCGTAAACGTATCCGCTTTCAGCGCTCTTCAGTTTGTGTTGTCACATGACGCGACCCACCAGAGTAACTGGGATTCATTTGGGTAAGATTTAGAACACAGCCATGAACGGATAGACGGATGCTAACGGCTGTATGGGCCGTAGCTTGCGCCACCTGGCCGAGAAATGAAACCCCAAAAGTAGGATTTCTGCTCTCGCCTTTCTAAGGCAATTCGCTTCCACGTAGTTCTCAACTTGGCCGCCAGAGACACGACGGTTGAATTTCCAGTTCAACAGACGAACACGAGGAAAGCAATACTGTTGATTTGTGTCAATGATGGGGCACTTGCCATATTCAACACCTCACAAAGAACGTATGATCGATTGTGAATGATCAAAATACAAACTACCCCGCTAAAAAAATTAGCACGTAGCAAAAGACACTTCTAGACAGGATTTCCACTTAAAGTGATTGGCTTCTATATTTCCTTTTTTTTTTAATCTTCGCCACGCAGTTCTCAACACACCATTTTTACGCAATTTTTCATCGCTGCTGCAGGGGCCAATCTTGGTTGTCGGTGAGGTTGAGATTAAAGCTCGCTGTCACAGGGCTAAAATGCGAATAGAAGATGAGTAGCCTGATCACGAAAGTGAAGGACGGGCGCTCGTCTGGTTTGAAGAGTAACAACGTAATTCGTGGACGCATCAAAAAAACACGCATATTCTAATAACTGAGTCAAAAAAAACATGCACCGTTTGTTTTGCTCGCGGACGATGTGATCGAACATAATCTCTACCTGTGAACGTCTGCGATTTCATAGAAAAATTCCAATCTACAAACAGTACTTTCTTTGCAAATGTGTGATTGTTTAGCTGCCGTACATAAACTAGCTGCCACCGGAGAGAAAAAAAGCTATCAAGACAAGAACATGGTGGAAAAAAAACCGACACAACACAAAAAATCTCTCTTTTTTTTTTGTATTGAAGTGCTTTTATAACCAGATTTCGGAAAATAAAAATTTCAGCTGTGTTAGAGACTTTTTAGAGTTGTGTCGTTTACCCGCAGTCTCGGTTTTTTTTAAACTATGTGCAATGTACACCAGCTCGTTTGCGCCCTTACTTTTTGTTCAAGACAAGAACTTTTCTATAAAATAGAGCGCAAACGTCCTCCGCCGCCTGAACTCTATCACAAAACGTACGGAAGTGAGCATTATTTTGGTGACAAGTTCTCACAAAAATATTGCTCAAACCTGGGCCACGGTGTAAGATATAGGTGTGGACACCAAGTCCTCTCCTCGACTTGGTTGTGAGCAGCGCCACGAGATGGCGCTTCGGCATGCGGCTAATGGCAGCCTATCGCTAACCCGGTTTAATACGCTACTCTAAGGAAAACATGCTTGTTTCTAAAGCCGTTTTCTAGATGTGCCACGTCTTATAGGACTTGGCACTTACGCTACACATGTTCCTTAGACACTGCTTCGTCAGTAAATCTAGTTTCGTGCCTCAACGGCGGCATTGGGAACTTTTATGAACGCGTTGATTTGGAGAGACCTCTGGCGCGGTGTTCAAGGCGTCCGTCAAGGTCAGAGCAGACGCTCCGAGCTGAAAGAGCGCGCACTCGTGTGCTATGGAAACAAGGACGTTGAAGTACCTCAAGACCCGGCAGCGTATTTGTAAAGGAGGAGGAGAAGCGTTGTAATAGAGGTTGGGGGGGAAAGGGGAGAGCCAATAGTGTGTACACACTGGGCGCTTGGTCACTGGCTCATTTGTAAAGGGTGGACGATACGAGGTGGCAAAGCCGCTCGCGCCGGATTGGCCGCTCCTCCAAGAGGACGCTGTGTCGTCACACATAGCAACGGGTGGTTGCTGGGCCGGCCGCAAGTAGACGTTGCGCGTGTATCACTGGCAGAGCCGTAGGTAAAGGAAGAGATGGTCAACGGCCGTGGCCTGCTTGACAGCTCGTCAACAATGTCACAGACACGTCCCGCGAACGTCATGGCCACGCCTCAGATCGCCATCTTCGTGCTTAGCCGACGCTTGGCTCTCGGTTATACTTCAACGTATGGCTGTGATTCTGCTTTATTTGAACTGTTAGAAGTATTTATACTGTCTTGTGTTTATTTAGGAACTACAATAAGTTACTTCCCTGTTACCTTGTGAATTCTCCCTCCTTACGCGCGACATCACCACGTTCATGAGCATCGCGCGTGCTCGGAGCGTCGCGGATTTTGTTTTTTGTCTTTAACTTATTTATTTTGCTTTTGAGCGGGGCATAGCAATAACAACTTGTAATTCGCGGCAGATGAACTTTAGGCAGAGATAGGTGGTCAATGCATTATAAAATGCCGTCGCCACACAAGATCTTCTGGAGTGTTTTCTAAAGAAGGAACTGTTCGTTAGAAAGTAAAATTAGCTGAAACTATTCGCCCGAAAATGTTAGTTTTTGTTTCTTCTTATTGTTATTCCCGCGCAGTCATACGTCAGAGAATCAAATTGATTGCTTTCCTGTGGCGAAGAACCTGGTATGGAATGATTGAGCCGTGAATACCGACCGCAAGCCTCAATCGACCTATTTCATCAATGAGACCGCGATCTTATTTTTCTTAACATATTCGAGGAAGACGGAAGGTTCCTAAATAAACTTAGGCGACTCAACGTTAGACGCTCTTCGCCAATAGTAAGCTAGCTCCTTTTAAAATAATATATTTATATTCAATTTATTGAGCCCTCCAAGAGTGCTGAGATCCCAGCATCCATCATCGTATCAGCACATACAAATTAATGAGAAACAAAAATCGACAGACTACCTTTTTCAAACGTAAAATGAGATGTATTGGTTGGTAGTCATCAATTAAAAGTTTCAGTTATTTCACTTCATGGTTTGGGAAGGAAGGCAGGGAAAATAAACTGTGCCGCGAGTAGCATTGGACGTTCCTGTCTCCCGCTGCAAATAGTCACATTATGGTCTTGGCCAGCAGAATCAGCATTATAACTTAATGGGCAAGCAGCTAGTACAAGAGATTGTGTAACGAGATCGAAGCTACTGACCATTATTGATAAACCCGTACCTGTATGATCGCAACTTTAAGAACAGCCCTATTTTATAAGTAAAAGTTTCAAGTCAAAACAAGCTTCGTTCTCCTCAAAGTCGGTAGCCTGCTTTGGGCGTCGATGGTTTTCATCAACTATATATAGGGTGTTCGAAATGCCGAGGCTCGATCTAAAATAGACCTTAAATATCTGCGCATGCACGTAGCGATCTAATCTTTTTGTAAAAAGTGTATTTCACAGGTGCGTCTTTACCTTGTAAAATTTGAAGACATAGTTCCTTTTCTGTAAACAATGGGGCCAAAACAAAAACAGGGTCAACGGCGGACGGTGACGCAGATGACCGGGTCTTGCCGGCTTGCCATGTGCAAGCACCGATTTTTACGACCCATTTTAAATCAAATTTCGGCAATTTAGATTTTTTTTGTCATAAAAACGATAACCTTGACGGCTCTGGTTGTAGCATTCAACGGCATAAGATCCGACTATGTTTTAACCAGAAAACCTAAAAAAAACGATGGTCGGTACATGGAAGAACATGTGACCCTGCATGCGCGCGCGTGGGAATTAAAATCGGTAATGGCGGGCACGCGCGCGTCGATCGCACGGCGTCTTTCGTTGCTAGGTGGTTGCTAAGTGGTTGCTAAGTGGATGCTGGGCTCTACGCCACTTCTGTGATAGGAGCCAAGTGGCCGCAAGAGGTCACCGAAGGCAGTAGATGGTCAAACTCTTCCCCTATCTATGACTCTGATCACAGGTGCGCCGCGCTTAAACCTATGTATATCATTCCCCGTCCACGCTGCTTCGCGATGACAGTCTGCGGTGGAATATACAAGCGCCTCAGTGATACACACGTGCAGCGTCGCCACGAAGAGGCGTCAAAGCGCAAAGAGGGGGGGGGGGGGGGGGGGGCTTAAAACGCTCTTTAGCAGCGGCGTAGACTTTCCAGTTTCCCGGGGGGGGGGGGGGGGGGGGGGGGGGGGCTGAGCGTTACCTTTTCGCCAGAACTGGAGATTTAAGCTAACGAATGCATGCTGGGATTCTATTTCGCATATATTTTGTCAATAAAGGCAACGTGGGCGTTATTTTGTTTACATGCCACTACTAGAAGCTCGTTACATGGCACCTAAACAGCGTCTCGGTAAGGATCATGGCCCGGGCCCGGGGAGCGGGCTCTTCCCCCCTCCCGGATCTCACCAGGGGGGGCACGAGCACCGATGCACCCCCCCCCCCCCCCCCGAAGTCTACGCCTATGCTCTTTAGTGATAGACACGCAACGCCTGCTGCCCGGCACAGCAACCAGCCGTTGCTCTGTGTGACGAAGCAGCGTCCTCTTCCAGGAGCAGCCAATCCGGCGCGAGCCGCCCACCGTTTACGAATACGCAACCCGGCTTGACCTTATATTCAGCGACGCCGGAAAAGGAATTCATCCACAGGCAGCTTTGCGCACCGACGCTGCTCTCATCGTCTGCTCGGCGCTTGGTCGGCTAAGTTAAAATTAGGCTCGTCTGGTCCGTGCCTGTGTTCTGACCGCTTTCACTGCTTGCTGTGATACAATTGGTGCACCAAAAAAGTTTAGGAGTTCGTCCTGACGGCGACTGATGTGCTCGCTTTCTATGGCCATGCTATGACGAGT